TGGGCCGCGTGGTCCCCCAAGGCGCAGGTGTCTGTGATTCCTGGAGACAGGAGGGAATGCTGATTGATCCCGACGAGCAGGAGCCTGGTTTAAGCACAGGGTAGGGAAAGGGTAGAGGCAGGAGTAGGCAAGCCCGGACGGGTGGGCTTGGGTACCGTGTGGGCAGCGTGTGAACCCTGGGCGGTGACAGTGGAGAAAGATGTCTTGGGCCCTGCCCCTGAACCAGGAGCCACCATGTTGGTGATACCCCCCGGACTGAGCGAGGAGGAGGAGGCACTGCAGAAGAAATTCAACAAACTCAAGAAAAAGGTGAGGAGGGAGTGTGTGGGGGCATGGCCCAACCTTCCCCAGAGTCCGCACTCAGAACACTGGGGTGAGTGTGAGGGGCTGGGGGAAGGGGGTGCTGGCTGCTACGTGGACACATGCCACCTCTCGGCGTAGCTTCAAGAGGTGGGCTCGCCCAGGTCTTGTGTGGGTCTTCTCCCTTCTGGTCCCTCCGCCATGGCGTTGTCTTGTTTCCCCATGGCTGCCTTATTGATCACCTTCAGGTACCCAGAACTGAAGCTGTGGTCTGTTGGAATCCCGTTCTTCTTCGTGATCTTCCAAAGAGGACCGACTATACCCAATTCTCCCATGTGTTTGGCCTCAAAATCTCATCTCTGACTTGGCTGCTGTTTGCAGAGTCAAACATCTGCCCACTTCTCCTAGTTCTTTTCAAGTGGTTTCTCTTCTTTCCTGTGAATTCCCCCACAGCAGGGCTCTGCTGCCACCTACCTAGGCTTTTGTAGTTATCTCTCACACCTCCTGGTCGTTTTCTCTGTTGTTGTTTGTTTGTTTGTTTGTTTTGAGTTCATGTGAAAATGACCCATTGAAAACACAAAACTCTTTTCCCTCTCTTCTCAGAATGGTAAAGCGGTTTCATGCAGTGTGTAGATCACAGCTTCCAAACCTCAGCTTGGCATCCCTGGCTAATCAAATAGAACCCCTGACTACTCCCAAAACACATTCCCACAGGCTTTTTAGCCCTGCTTCTTTGCCTAAAATACCTCTTTCCTCTCTCTCTCTGTTGTGCAAGTTCTACCCAGGGCCCTTTCTAATAGCCATTAAGCATCAGGAAATCTCATTTTTAGACATAAATGTTCTGCACCTCTTAGAGTCATTCTTGGCAATTCAACTTGAGTCATTTTGTTTCCCAGTTTGTAAGCGTCTTGAGAGTAGGAATGGTGTGTTTTAATTCTGTGTATCCTCATTACAAAGTCACGATCTGGCCTCATTAAATGTACAAAGGGGACAGAGGGATGAAGCCCGCAAGAAAAGCACAGGCTTAACCCCAAGGTTTTCAGAACTTGCAGCTCTGGAAAGCCTCTGGATACCGTGCGTTGTTAGTTTAAGTGTCGCTGACATTGTAGATCGTCGGGAACCAGATGCAGAGGCAGAGGTGCCATCTGCATTGTTCTATCCGAGAAAGGGTATCCTTGGAGTGCTAGCTCAGGAGCCGTGGGTGAGGACCCAGCACTGGCCTGTACTGATCCCTCTCTTCTCACCCTTGTTCCCAGAAAAAGGCGTTGCTCGCTCTGAAGAAGCAAAGTAGCAGCAGCACAGCCAGCCAAGGCGGTGTCAAACGCTGTGAGTGGTGGGAAATGGGGCGGGACTGAAAGTGGGCAGCGTGGAGCTGACTTTAATCATAGCCTGGCCGTAATGCTGTTTTCCCTCACTACCCCAGCACTGTCAGAGCAGCCTGTGGTGGACACAGCCACAGCAACAGAGCAGGCAAAGCAGCTGGTAAAGTCAGGAGCCATCAGTGCCATCAAGGCTGAGACCAAGAACTCAGGATTCAAACGCTCTCGAACCTTAGAGGGGAAGTTAAAGGTGAGCCCACGAGAAGGGTTGTTCGGGGGCCCCTTGACTTCAGAGTGCATCCCTCCAGGTTGAATGGCGGCGGCTCAAGGAAAACATAATGCACACTTGGTCATAGCAAATTGCTGTGCCGTCCTGAGCTTTCGGTTTCGTATCTGTAATTTGAAAAAACTCGGTGACTCCTAAATTCCTCTCCATTTTGTACATTCTGGGATGCTAATCCACCTTGAGTTTGTGCTCTTGAAATGTGTTAGTCTAAGGGGTTGAACAGGCTGAAAATGCCGTCAAGCTCAAGAGAGTTTTAGGTAAACCAAATACTTCACTTACTTAAAAAGACTATATAGTAGAACAAGAAATGTACTTGGGGTTAAAAGAAAAAAAAAATTAGAGGAAGCCAAGATGGCAGGGAGGGAAAAGGCCGTGTCTGTCCCGTGTTTGGCAGCCTCCTGCCCCCACACTGAGGTGGTCTCTCCCCTCTCCAGGACCCTGAGAAGGGGCCAGTCCCCACTTTCCAGCCTTTCCAGAGGAGCATATCTGCTGACGATGACCTGCAAGAGGTAATGGTGTCCGGGCCTCTGTCCCTGAGAGGCTCGGGGCCAGAGGTTGAGCAAGATGAGAGACCCACGTTTTAGGGGCATATGGCAGCAACTGGGGATCATCTGAACTATTCTTGCTCTCTTTTGCAGTCATCCAGACGTCCGCAGAGGAAGTCTCTGTATGAGAGGTGAGAGAGTTACAGGACTGGGTCCCCCTTGGCAGGTGAAGGATTGGTTGCCTGAGTCCTTGGGAGGTCTGGTGGGGTTGAAGTGGAAGGAGCCAGGCTGTAGAGGGAGGGGTGAGCCCCACAGAGTCTGTGAGGAAGTAAAGGCCCTCTTTGATACTCTGTGTGCCTTTCCTCAGCTTTGTATCTTCCAGTGATCGGCTTCGGGAACTGGGGCCAGATGGAGAAGAGGCAGAGGGCCCAGGGGCTGGCGATGGCCCTCCTCGAAGCTTTGACTGGGGCTATGAAGAACGTGGTGGTGCCCGCTCCTCCGCCTCCCCTCCCCGAAGCCGCAGCCGGGACCGCAGCCACGAGAGGAACCGGGACAGAGACCGAGACCGTGAGCGAGAACGAGAGCGAGATCGGGATCGGGATCGAGACCAAGACAGAGACCGGGACCGAGACCGAGAGCGGGACCGGGACCGAGACCGAGAGCGGGACAGAGACAGAGACCGAGAGCGGGACCGCGATAGGGACCGAGAGCGAGAGGGCCCTTTCCGCAGTGAGTGGTCTTGGCTGTTGGGGAAGGTGACCTCAGCCAGGGTTTCAGTAGGTGCTGTTAAGTGGAGGGTGAGGGGCGGGCACGTGATTTAGCTGTTAAGATGCCAGTTAGGATGCCCACGTCCCACACTGGAGCGCCTGGGTTCACCGCCAGCTCCTGCTAGTGTGCACCCTGGGAGGCAGAGGCAATGGTGATGGCTCAAGGATTTGGGTCACTGCTGCCTATGTGGAAGACCTAGATTTTTTTTTTCTAAAGCAGAAGGTGAGATGGGCTGGCTTGTGACTGTTGATTCCTGATCCTGTAGGGTCAGATTCCTTCCCTGAACGCCGAGCCCCTCGGAAGGGGAATACTCTCTATGTGTATGGAGAAGACATGACACCCACTCTCCTCCGTGGAGCCTTCTCTCCCTTTGGAAACATCATTGACCTCTCCATGGACCCACCCAGAAAGTAAGGATGACGAAGGGGAGTGGCAGGAAGTCCCTGCCCTGTCTCCAGCGACCTGTGTGCACTGGGTTTGGTTGGGTCTAGAAGAGCCCAAAGCCCTCTGCTGACCCTGTTTTCTCTCATCCCAGCTGTGCCTTCGTCACCTATGAAAAGATGGAGTCAGCAGATCAGGCCGTTGCTGAGGTTGGGACTTCCCTGATCCGTTCTTCCCATCCCTCCTGCCATCCTCATGTTTGTTCCCTTGTAATACTGGGAGCCAGGAAGAAATTGATTCCTTTTGACAGAGAAAAATCTCTTTCTGTTCACTCAGAAAAACTTGTATTCTCAGATCCCCATGCAGTCTATCCATGATAGCAACACCCGTAACAACTCCTTTGGTTTATCTGAAATAACCCGCCCACCCTCCGCCCCCTCCCCTCTTTCTGCAGCTCAACGGGACCCAGGTGGAATCCGTACAGCTCAAGGTCAACATAGCCCGCAAACAGCCCATGCTAGATGCAGCAACTGGCAAGTCTGTGTGGGGCTCCCTCGGTAAGAATGGGGTTCTTCCCTCATCATGTCCCCAACAGTCTGCCCCCGCAATCCCCAGGTTCCCCAGATGTGGTAGTGGTCACAGTGTATGTGAAGCCTATGGGAAAGGAAAGAGAACTGTCAGGCTCTTGGTCAGAGGTAAAGGAAGGAGAGAAAAGGATGGAAAAGTACTCCAAGGCGATGGCGGGGGTGGGGAGGAAAGTGGGAGACTTGGGCTGTGCCGAGGACGGGTGTCTCGTGTGGCTCAGGTGTGCTGAGACGGCCTTTGTCGGGTTTCACAGGCATTTGAAAGTCAGGACTGGGACTCAGGTGTGAGGTAAAGATGAAGATGGAAGTTAGGGGCTTCCACATCGCAGGGTGGCCACAAAACACTATTATAAGAGACACTGGATTTGGAGGAAAAGGGGACTGGGCCTGGGGACTGTCCAGGGAGTATGTCAGGAAGCAGGGCTGTACTCATGCTGCCCATGTTCCCCGCTCACCTGACATGGTCGGCTGAAGTTGAGGACGCAGCCAAGGAGATGGGAAGAAGGATCTGAGGCTTGGGAACACAGCACAGGTCCCTGGGCCACTGAAGTTCAAGAGCCCAAGCCTTGGAAGGAGGGTGTGGTCATTAAGGGCGAGAGACAGGGCCAGGGAGAACAAGAACTGGCGTGGGCAAGAGTCACTCTGTTCCCAGAGTGGTGGGCTTGGTATCCAGGGACGGGGTGAAAAGAGGGCCGTGTCCGTGGAGGGAGAGCGTGAGGGCCGAAGCTGCCCCTGGATGAGCTCTTGTGGTGGGCCGAGTGGTGGTTCTTGGTGGGACTGTAACCTGTCCCACCTGAAAGCAGCCCTTCCTGGGGAAGGGGTGAGCAGAAAGAGGGTCACAGCAAGAGTTCCTGCGGACGGTATATCAACAAAGGGCTACAGAGGTTTTCTGATTTTTATTTTTTGATGTAGTGACTGGAAGCAGTGAGTTAACAGCATTCCTGAACTTAGCAGTGATGACATTTGGGGATTCTCTGAGAACAAGACATTTCATCACAATATCCAGATGTGACCCAAGCACAGCTTACGCTGGCCCTGGGCACGAGTTGGCTGCCGCTGGCCTGTGGGAGCTGAGAGGCGGCAGGCCAATCTTGGCCACCAGAGGGCAGCTTAAAAACGGGACTTCCAGAGGCTGGGGCTAAGGGGGAAGTAGTCAGGCTGTGGGCCTCGGGTCTGATGGGTGATCTCCTTCGCACCTTAACTGTCGTTTCCTCACTCCGTAGCTGTCCAGAACAGCCCTAAGGGTTGCCACCGGGACAAGAGGACCCAGATTGTCTACAATGACGATGTCTACAAGGAGAACCTTGTGGATAGCTTCTAGGGAACGGAGCTGGATTCCTCGTGCCTCATATGCCCCCAATGCTGGTCTCAGTAAAACACTGAGGTGGAAGTACACACATCTCCCTCAGCCTCTGGTTTTTCAGCACTTGGGATGGGGGTTAAGCCTTTAAAAACGGCTGTCAGATTCTATCTCAGTTGCAACCACATGGCCAGTGCACATTCCCCACTCCCTTCCCCCAAGAGGATCTGGAACACAGGGCTAGTCGCAGCTGTTTAAATTGGGTCCCACGCCCCTTTCCAGCAGGAAACCCCTTACAGAAAACCCAGATCCTCATCTTTGAGTTTGTCCTTGAGCCAGGGCAGCACTTGGAAGAGGTTGATATGAAAGTCCCGGGCATAAGCAGGTGCCTGCAGGCGCCGCTTGTGGTCTTTGCAGACATCTACTACTCCCCAGCTGATGACACCAACCTGCGGAGGCAAGGGGACGCCAGGGATCGCCGGGTGGAATTCCTCCCTGATCCCAGGAGCCCTGCTCTTCCTGACTGCATCTGAGCTCCAGGAGTTAGACTGAGGTCCTGTTCTCACTACACAGGCCAGACGTGTGGCCCTAGGCTGGCATAGCACTGAGGTGACGCAGGCTCTGCCCTCCCATCGCCAGCCACGTGCTTTGAGCCTTCCTGCTCCTGTGGGCATCTCCCCACAGATAGGAATGAAGGGGAGAACTCACTTGAATGAAGCGACTCCTCTTGTGAATGATCAGAGGCCCACCAGAGTCACCTGCAGAAGGGGAGGAAGCTGTAGGGAAAGGCTGCTTGGCCTTGGGGATTTGCAGCACAACAAAGAGCCTTCTCACCTCTGCAAGTATTGGGGTCAGCGTAGGGATCCACTCCTCCAGTGCAGAGGAACCTGGGGGTGACTACCGCCGAGATGTCCTTGACTTTGTCATAGCCAGGAGCGTATTGAGCATCCCTCTCGCAGCTGGCTTTCTGAAGGAAGGAGGGGACGTGGGGGAGCAGGGTGACAAAGCTGGCCTGGGAAGGGTTGGGGCCCAGAGGGCCTCCTTCCTGGGCTCTCCTGTTCCTCACCTTATCCCCATTCTTGATGTAAACTTCCTTGCGAGTCAGCTTCTTCTCCTCCTCAGACACAAACAGAGCCTTGACGTTCTTCGCAGGGAGCAGCTCTTCCTCTGCACGTGGAGACGGGCTGCGTCATTTCAGCGGCCCTCGCCTCCCTGCTGCCTTTCTCAGCAGACAGCCCTTCGTGTGAGCCTGTCAGCAGGCTGGGCGTGCCTGCTCCCGCAGCTCCCTCACGCCCCGCTCGGCCCTCATCCTTGTTTTCTCCCTGACTGTATCTTACTGTGTTGTTGGCAGGTGGTTGACTGAGGAAGCCGCAAGGCTCGAGTGGTCCCCTCCGTGCAGGGCAGGCAGATGGGCCTGTTCATGAGGGACAAAGTCAGGAGGTCCAGACAGGCAGCTGCTCGTCCCAGCCCGCCTCTCGCAGGACTCCAGACACTCACCTGAGAGTCTGGCTGTATGTCAGCTTACTCTTGAGCTTCACCAGGGCTACATCGTAGTCATAAAACTCGGGGATTCCTTCTGCCTTTTTCCCATTGATGTTGTAGTTGGGGTGAAATAGAACTTCTTCTACCTCCAGGTCCCGCCTCTTCCCTCCTGAGACAGGAAGGGAGCGGGTACTTCTCTGCGGCAGCCTTCTGCCTCGGACCCCCATTATTCCTAACATTGAGTCTTCCCCCTTCCTGACTGGTGTGGGGTCTAGAGTGGGTGAGGGGGTTGTCTGGAGAGCGTGCCCGGAGCTCGGGAGAATTCTGTTGCCTCCTTACCCACGCTGACTTTGATTGAGTGCTTCTGGTCGTCCACTGTGAAACAGTGTGCTGCTGTTAGCACGAAGTACTCAGACACCACAGCCCCCATGCAGTTCTCATGTCCCTTCTGAGGGCGCTGGGGACAGAGGTGGAGGGAGAAAGCTCAGCTTTGACGAGCCACGATGTCCGAGCATCCGCCCCTCCACCACCCTTTCCCCCTGCCCCCACCTCCCATGGGTCCCCAGCACGAGGACGCTGTGCTTACAGTGACTGAGATCTTGGCATGCCATGGTTGCTTGTGGTAGTCGGTGCCTTCCCTGTGCTCCCACACCATGCCACAGAGCCCCAGGGACTGGCTTTCATCTGGCAGAAAAAGAGAGTGTTGAGGCTTCATTCCCAAATGACAGTGGCTCATAATGTTTGTGTACTCATGTTGAGTATAGTGAAAAACAGTTTAAGAGATTAGGGAGACGGCTGTTTTCAGGCCCAACTCTTGCTAGCTTGCCATGCCTTGACCCCTTGGCCTCTGTAGAATGAGGGACCATAGCAAGAATTGCTCAGAGCACAGATGCTAAGATCAGGAAGTGGACAGTGGCAGCAAACAAGCATAGTGAGACAGAGAAGAGGCATGAGAGAGGCCTAGTCGCTGGGAGGGGTAAAGGAAGAATGAGTGACGAGCAGATCCTGGGAGAGCTGAGATTTCCGAGTCTCCACATGCACCACCACCACCACCCCCCCCGGGAGTTCCTACCAATCATCTGGAAGAAAACGTCCTCCAAGTGCTCCATGTCCTTGACTCTGAACACATGTTGCTCGTTCTCCTTCTTGGAAGCCAGGGCATTGATGTTCGCTGGCTCCACCAGAGGCCCAACCCCAAACACATAGACGTCTGAGGGAGAAAAGGCAAGGGTGAGGGTCTAGGCCCTAGCACAGGAGGTGCTGGGTGCTGGACGGGTTACTCACCCAGGTAATCCTCTCTCGGGTTTTTGCGATCCTTGCCAATGTTTAGCAAATCCCGAATCTCATTAATGACAGTGACTGGGTCGCCCCCCATGTTGTGCAAGCCTGCAGGAGAGATGGGCCCATCAGAGAAGAGGGTCAGGGAGGGGTGAGGTGACAGGCATCAGGGACACACGTGGCTGAGCAGGGAATGGAGGAGACAGGTGATGAGGATGCTGGGGAGCAGGATTGGAGGAGAGCTTAACAGCCAGCTGTGAGGAGTGTTCAGGACCCAGCACACGTCCAGTGCTCCAGGTGGGCTTCAGAGCCACGTGCTGGCCTGGGAGGCTGGGGGGTACAGAGGCCTTTCTGACCGTCAGTCATGAGGATGATGACGTGGCGAGTGCGGTTCCAGCCTTCAGGGGGCACGTCCCCTGGCCAGCTCATCATGTTGTACACTTCCACGAGGGCCCTCTTGGTGTTAGTCCCTGTCTTCAGCTTGTGGTCTGTGGAGAGGGAAGAGGTCATCCTTGGGCCCCAGAGACCCATCCGCATCTTCACTTAAACCACAAAATGGTCTTCCCGGCTTCCAACAGGCTCCCACTAGTCCTCAGTACCTAACAGCCCCGCTGACCCCTCGACTTGGTCTCGTGACCCTCCATGCAACACCCCTGAAGCTCCTGTCATCGCTCACCCCAGAGGGGCCTCCCACTGTTTCCTTCCCTGACCACTGACCTTCATAACTGATTTGATTGAGCTTCTCTGTGACCCAGTTTGCATCACTGCTCTTTGGATCCGACACTCTAACCAGAACATTGGGGTATGTGGCATATGTCACTAGGCCATATCTTGGCCTCACCCCATAACTCGCCACCTGTGGGTGAGAGGGGCAAGTGATCATGGCGCTGAAAGTATGGAAAAGTCAGCAGTTGCTGGGACAGAGGAGGTTGTAGAAAGGGGCTCATGGCTGGAGGTGCACAGAGGAGTCTCTCTTGAATGCTAAGAAAGTCGAAGGCAAGGACAGAACAGGCCCTGTGTGGGGATCGGGCAGTGAGAACCATTCAGAGTCCCTGCTCTGATAGGGAGAGGGGGTTTCACCTTCTCAATCAAGTTGACGAGACACCTCTTGGCCCCTGTGAAGTTGCTGGCCCCGATGCTGTCTGAGCCGTCCAGCACCAGGTAGATGTTCATGGAGCCGGCGGGGTCCAGGACAATCTTGCGCTTCTGCAGTTCCCCTGGGTTCCAGCAGAGAGGGTCAGGCTCCAGCATGCACTGGGTGTCCCTCCTCCAAACCCACCCCACAACCCAGTTCCCTGCCCTCCTGCCTCCCATCTGTCTCTGCCCTCAAACCTGGGCTGTGCCCGTCCTCAGCATCAACTCCTTCTAAAGTCTGTGTTAGGGAAGACAGGAAGGCTTCCGCCACCTCTTGAGGGGTGTCGTACATGAAGGAGCCTGGGAGAAGTGAGCAATCAGGTCACATGTCAGGAAGAGTCGGGGACCAGTGACCAGCGAGACCGGGAATGGTGACTTTGCAGGGAGGGAAGGGCCCAGAAGTGAGGACGCTCCCCAGGGAGGAGCTGGGAGGCAGAGAAGATAGTGTCAGAGGGCGGGGATGTTAGGATGGGAGGCCAGGACCAGGGTCACCTTGGCAGGAAGGCTCTGTCCCACTCCAGGAGCCACCTTCCTGGCATGTTCGTTGCTGGGAGCCGCGCAGGGTAAGCCCCTGACTGCAGTGGTAGGTGACAGTGTCTTCAAGACGGTACCGGCTGCCCGCCTTCCTTGTGCCGATCGGAATGCCTGGGTTGGGGCAGTACCCCGCTGCAGAGGCACGAGACGTGGAGCTGAGAGCCAAAGTTGGAGGCCCAGAGCAAAGACACAGCCAGAGTCACGGTGCCCGTTCCTCAGGCTGATGCACCGTCAGGGAGAGGGGAATGTGGCGGCGGGGAGCATCTCACCTCCATCGTCGCAGATGGCGGTTTGCCCATCCCACCGGCCATTCACCTGGCAGGTGCGATTGGCAGAGCCCCGGAGAGTGTAACCATGGTAGCAGTGGAAAGAGATCTCATCATTCACATTGTAGTAGGGAGACCGGGGCCAGTAGTCCCCATTCTCAAAGTCCTGAGGTTTTGGGCAGCGAATTGCTTTGGGAAGAGGAACCATGAGAAGTCACCAAGAGAGAAGGGCTGCCTTTCGGGTGTCCCCCACTATCCCCCCGGTCTGGGAGGCCCTGTCGCTGAGCTCCAGCACCTTCCTGGTCCCACAGGAGCAGCGTCTACCCCTCCACCCATGGGGTCCCCGCTGTTCCTCACCCCCAGCTTCCGAGCATCCTCGTGGCTGGAAAGCGTCCAGACACAGGCTGGGTGCTTAGCCCCTCCTCCTCGCCTGCAGCCCTACTTGCTCGGACTCCGTTCAGCCCGCCTGATCTCACCCCAGTGCTGACTTTGGCCATCACCCGCCCTGTCCCTCCCCCGCTCACTGCCCTCAAACCTCTACACTCGGCCTTGGCGACAGTCTTTTGATCTTGGGTCCTCAGGGGGCTCCAGGATCCCATGGATCTGCAAGTGCGTGTCTGCACAGGGTACGGGTAGAAGCCAGAGGGACAAACATACTCCAGTGCCTGGCCCTCCTGGAGAAGTTGGAAGGAGCCGCCTTTGATCTCCACCCCTTCTAGAGAGCAGGGGCTTTGGGGCTGGGCTTCAGGCAAGGGAGTCGCAGTCACACCTGGAGAGAGAGGCTCAAATGCTCACCCCCAGGGCTAAGGAGGGATGGGGGGCAGCAGGAGGGGGAAAAGAGCCTCACTTACCTCCAGACAAGAGGACCAAGAACAAGGGTGCGAGGCAGAGTCGGGGGCTGAGCGTACTCCCCATGGCGACCGGAGGGCAGGAAAGCAGCTGGGGCTGGGTCAGAACGGCTCCTCTGGGCTGGCTCTGCGTGTCCGCCGAGCTCAGGGGCCAAATGGAAACTCCAGACTTGGGCCTGGTTGCACCCGCTTCCCCTACGCCCCCCCCCCCCCCCCCCCCCCGCCGCCAGCCCTCAGCCTTTTATGCAATCTCTGTGCTGGCACCTGCAGCCCATCCCGCCTGTGCTGTGCACACACATGGTTTTCCCGGAACGTTCAGGCAGGAGGGCCCCGCTGGGCGGCCAGTGGAGGAAATAGAAACTGAAGAAGCCCAACCCTTGCTGCACTAGGTTCAGGACTCTCCCTTCCCACGCTGGCCCTCGGCCTCCAGATCTCCCCATTAAGTCCAGACTTCCCTCTTAGGGACTGGAAATAAAGCCCCGGCTCGCCCCCCAACCGCTGACCAGTGTTGTGGGGCAGAGTCCAGCTGCTGTTTGTCCAGCAGGTTCTCTGACCTGCCTTCTGACAGTTCCCGGAATCATCTCGGCCTCCTGTTCCCCACCCAGCCTGGCACAGGCACACACAGATGTGGAAATCACTGATTTTTATTAATTTCATAACTGGGAAATCCCATGTGAAAGTGAAAGGACCATGAGTCAGGTAAACCAAGGGGAGAGATCTGAGCAGAAGTGGGGACTTCGGACAACAAGCTCCCTGGCAGGCACCCTGGGGGCCACCCCGCCTGCAGGTGCCGCCCCTGGGCTCCTGAAGACTGGGTTTCCTGAGCCAGGAGAACAGCCACAGGCCACGGGTCCACATGGGAGGGGTGGCAGATCCCCGCAGAACAGCCTAGGGCCGGGGCCACAATCAGAGGGGTAAGAAGTTCAGGACACCTTGCAGGTGCTCCCTCAGCCAGGGCTGCAGGCGGAAGAGGTTGATGTGGAAGTCTCGGGCTGTCAGGCCCCGGGGAGCCTTTTTACGGGAGCCTTTGCTGGTGGCACAGGGGTTGTAAAGCCCCCAGCTCACCACGCCCACCTGGAGGAAGAGAGAGAAGGAGGAGCAAGGCTGCCACAGTCACCGCTTGGAGCCCCAGCTCAAGCCCCAACACCACCCCTCCCTGGTTCCTTTCCCAAGATCCCCTAGGCCCCCCAGCAAGGCCGAGAGCCTGCCAGCTTCCAGCGTCTCACCTGAAAAAACCTGAACCTCCGCTCAAGGAAAACTGCGCCCCCAGATTCTCCTGCCAGCAGAGAGGGACAGGGGACAGTGTCACGCAAGGCAGCGCAGTGTCCCAGCCAGCAGCGTGCTGGTCACCAGGACATGGGGGGGGGGGGGGCCCGGGGGCCGCCCTTCCCTCAGGAATGCGGGCTTGGAGGGGGGACTCACCCTTGCAGGGATTGTCATCCTGCTCAGCACCACTGCACAGAAACTGATCTGTCACCACCTCGCTGACGTCTGTCAGGTTGGGGAACCTCTCAGAGACGGCCTGGATACAGTTTTTCCACTGTAGTAGGAATGAAGTGGGAAGAGAAGGTTGTATGGAGCAGCCCGGGGGAGACGCCGGGGGCGGGGGGCAGCGTGGCTTAGAGGGAGAAAGCAGCCGGAGCCAGTGGGGAAGAGACTTTCTGGGAGCTGCCACGGCAGGTGGGAGGCTGGGGACGCGGGCGGTTCAGGCACCCCCAGGGCGGCTCTCACCTCTGCGCCTGTCTTGAGCTTAACGTTCAGTTTGTTCCCATCCAAGGCGACAAAATGAGCAGGAATGCTCCGTTGGCTCAGAAGCTCCTCCTCTGCAGTCAGGAGAAGGGCCCGTTGGTGTGAATCCAGACTTCCTGCCTGGGGACTGCAGCCTGGCCCGGGGTCTCCACCCCCAAGACCCGGCTCCAGGTCTTCACGCACCCAAAGCCCCAGCACTCACCGTGGTCCCGACAGGTGCTGCCTTGGGGTTTCCGCAGAGCCAGATTGGCCTCCACTGTGCAGGGAAGGCAGATGGGCCTGGAGAGAAGGGAGGGAGTCACACAGGCCCAGCGTCCACGTCCCCGCCTCAGCTCCCCAGAGCACTAGCCCCAGACTCGCACCTGGCGTGGGTGGATATTTTCACTTTCTGGGTCAGCTTCAGCAGGGCGATATCGTCCCCATAGAACTCCGGGATGCCCTGGCTCTTCTTTGCATAGACATTGAACCCTGAGGGGACCTCCACCTTCTCAATAAGGAATTCTTTGCCATGCTGGGAGTTGGGATCCCCTGGGAAAAATGCGACAGATTAGCCTGGACCAAAACTCCTGAAAAGATGGAGGCTGGGGAGGGGCTGCAGGAACTCTAGCCTTGGGGCCGGGAGCCTGGTGAGGCTCCTGCCTTACCCACGCTGACCCTCCACAGGGAGCGGTCCTCGGCGTGGTGGAAGCAGTGAGCGGCTGTCAGGACCCACTGGTCAGAGATGAGGGCCCCCCGGCAGGTCTCCTGGGCCCTGGGCTGCAGGTGAACACAAGACATTCAGAGACTGCTGTGTGCTGGGCCACGGTCACTGTCACCTCCAGGAGCTGAGTCCTACCCCTCCTTCCTGCTACCTTAAAAGTGACATGCCAGGGTGTCCTCTCCTGGTCAGAGGCGTTGGCTGACATGTTCCCCACCCCGCAGATGGTGTCGGTGAGCTTGGAGACATCTGTGGGTGTGAGGACCGGACACGTGAGCGGTACCCAACCGGGGCCCGGCTTCCTGCTCACCGAGGCAGGGCGCAGCTCACTCACCCAGCATGTGCTCAAAGACCTGCTGCAGAGCCCTGGCGTCCTGCAGGATGAAGGCGTGCCTCTCCCCGTCCTTCTTGGAGGCCAACTCATTCAGCTCTCTCCAGTCCACATCCAGCTTGCCCACCCCGATGGCATAGATGTCTGATGGGGAGGAAGGAACACGAGAACCCCGTGGCTCAGGAGTTTGGAACTCACTGTGTCCAACAAAGGTCCCACGTGAGCTGGGGCCCCATCCCTCGCCCCTGCTGCCACTCTGCCTCCACTTCCTGCCACGCCCTGCCCTGGGCTTTGCTCCTTGAGGCTCCTCACAGCTGCAAGCCTGCCCGCACCGAACTTAGGCTCTTGACACAAGCTGCTCCTCTGTATGGTTCATCTTGCCCGAGATGCCCACAGGACTCACTGTCTGGACTCACTGTCTTACCATTTGTCACTTTCTAAGCAAGGCCCCCTTGGCCTTGCTATCTAAAATCGCAGTGCCCCAGACACTTCCATTCTCTAACCCCATCCCCCGCCACTTCATTGTATGCTATGCCATGTCACCTACCACCTATCATGCAAAATGATTTCCTGGTTTATCTTGTTGATTGCCTGTATGGGTAGAATTGTGTCTCTCCCCACCCCACACCCAGAAGATAAGTTCAAGTCCTAACCACTGGTACCTATGAATCTGACCTTATTTAGAAAAAGGGTCAGGGCCAGCGCTGTGGCATAGTGGGTAAAGTCACTGCCTGCTGTGCCAGCATCCTATATGGATGCTGGTTCAAGTCCCGGCTGCTCCACTTCCGATCCAGCTCTCTACTATGGCCTGGGAAGGCAGTGGAAGATGGCTCAAGTCCTTGGGCCCCTGCACCCACATGAGAGACCCAGAAGAAGCTCCTGGCTGCTGGCTTTGGATTGTTGCAGCTCTGGCTGTTGCAGCCATCTGGGGAGTGAACCAGCAGATGGAAGATCTCTCTCTCTCTCTCTCTCTCTCTCTCTCTCTCTCTCTCTCTCTCCCCACCTCCCTCCCTCCCCAACCCCATAACTATGCTTTTAAAATAAATAAATAAAACTTAAACTCAAAGGGATTAAGAAGGAGGGAGTTTGGACACATGCACACACACGGGTGAAAGAACACCGTGGAATGGCACAGAGGTGCACCCAAGACAGACGGCAAGGTGAAGAAGAGGCAGAGATGGGAGCTGTGAACTACAAGCCTGGAAGTGCCTGGGGCCCCCAGCAGCTGGAAGAAGCAGGGTAGGACTCTTCGACAGAGCCTCTTGGGGGTGCACGGCCCTGTCCATGCCCTCACTCCAGCCCGTGCCAATGGGAATGTTCACAGCCTCCCAGGTCTACGGTCATTTGCTACAGTAGCCCCAGGAAACAGACACATCGCCCTGCAGGAGCGGAGGTTCCCATGCAAGCAGGTATCTTGTGTTTTGCTGGCACCAAATCCTCAGTGCTCAGGACAGTGCCTGCCCCAGGAGTCCATGAGGACTTTAAAGTGACTGAATGAATAACAAGAGCCCCTGACACACCAGACCTGGTCTGATTCCTTAAAATGTAGGCGCTGGGAGGAAGGCCTAAAGCCACTTCTTTCCACAGAAGGCCCTGGACCCACATGTGGGGAGCAACTCGGACTAGACTAAGTTACTGGAATTAAGACTTATTCTATGCATCTGCTCTCCCACAATATGGCGCTGGGAGAGGAGGAAAACAGCTTCTACCCAGCTGCCTCCAGTTCAACCAATAAACAGCAGGACCTGCTCCTGATTGGAGGAGAGCAGCGTACTTGGCGTGTGGGCAGCCGAGTTGGGATTGGCGGAGGAGGACTATAAAGGAGGAGAGAGACAACATGCACCAGGAACATCTAAGGGGAACATCTAGCTGAAGGAACACCTGTGCAGCCCCCGAGAGAGCCGGCTGGCGGTGTGCCACTCCCCTGCGGAAGTGGGGAATGTGGCAGGGGGAACCGCCCTTCCACGGAGGTGGAAGGGACAGTAGCCAACCCGGGAAGAACCAGCAGCAAACCCGGGGAGGGCCGAGCAGACAAAAGAACAGTGCAGGGTCCTGTGTCGTTCCTCATTTTTGCTCCCAGAAGGCCCTGCTCTGTGTGTAAGGAGCAAGATGCTCAGACCGAGAGAAGTCTTCTGCCAGGAAGCCATTCAGCCACCGCCCGGACAGCAGCAGCTGCAGTGGGAGCTGGAGTGGGGTCTCTCTATTTCTCCTGCCTCTTTTTAATAAGATGTTTTTGAGCCCTGAACCCTGGCCTGGTGATGCTGAGGAGGAGGGCAGTGGGGTTTGCGTTTTGTCTTCCTGGGGCTAGAGTTTGAAAGAGGAAGCAGTTTTCCCCTGAGGTGGGAAGCAGACAGTGTGAGTGGAAGGAAGGGGGAAGGGCACATTTCGGGGCTCAAAACCAGCTGCTCTCTCTATCTGAGC